TAACATTATTATATAAAATACACATATTTACCGACTTTTTGATCTCAATAATTCCTGCCCTTTTTTCTCCAACACTCACTTCCTAATACAACCCAACACTTTTGTTTTTGAATTTTATATTTTCTTACTTAAAGTTTGAAAAAAAAATCTAATATCCGTTTATTTTTGTCTATGGTTATTTTTGGATTCTACAAATTAATAACCAGACTATTGGAGATATCTTCGCTCAAAATTCAAAACCGATAATATTAAACTTTAATATGATAAATCTATTTTTTAGCCAATCATGAACTTGCCAAATTCCAGATTCCTATATAATCAAGTACAGTAATTTGAAAAGCGCAATAATATAAATATTTAAAATAAGCTATCCAAAATTATGAATATTTGCTATTTAATTTTATTTGAAATTGAAAGTATAAAGAATTTATTAAAAATTTAACATAATGATTTAAGTTATAAATACATTATTTACTATTTAATTCACTAAAATTCATAATTATAAAAATATTTATTGATTGAAGTAGTATTATTAGGTGAAACTTAAGAGTTTTGCCACTGATAAAAGATGAAACTAGTTTTGACTTTCACCAAAAGAAAATTAAAATGGTGAAATGACAAAACTGACAAAAGGTAACGAAACTGGCGAACTAAACTAATTAAAGATAATAAAATTAATAAAGGAAGCAAGAATAGAAATGTAATTAAAGAAATTTAAAACTCTTTTATGTGATTACGGTATTTATTTTTTGATTTATACTATCATTAAATCAAATTGTCAATAAAATAAACAGAATCCAAATTATGTTTTATTAAAAAAAAATAAATTTAGAAAGATAAACTTTAGAAAAATAAGTAACAATAGTAAAAACTGTATCCATAAATAATAGCCTACTCACATTTAGGGATGATATGTGATTTAAATCACGATGATATAAATCACTGATTTTTATTTTAAATCAATTTAAAGCAGATTCAAATCTTTTGTTATTATGCTTTGCAAAAGATATAACCTTTGTAAGACACTATTTTATATTATATCAGAGATTCTGTAGATTTAAAAATGCATTCAAAGTCAGAATTTAAATATAAATAATTGAATTAAGTAATAAAAATCAAATACTAGGAATGGAATACAAAGTACATAATATATAGTTTATTATTGATTTAAGTGTTTCTGTACAAATCTGCTTCTTTAATTGGATATCTGTTTTTACACGCATCATATGATTAAACATACCCATATTTATACATGCTTTACTAAAAATTACAGTTTAATTCAGATCATCAGCACTTTTTCTTTTTCTGAGGCTGGGTATGCTAAATTGAACAAATATTATAAAACTTACAGAGAAGAGTAATAACAACAATACAATATCAAAAGCAAAGCTCTTGAGTCTAAAAAATGAAAAAGATTAGAAGAAAACAATAACTATTTGATAGTAAAAACTGTGAAAGCACAGCATGTATTAGAGTTCCCAGAGGAGAAAGAAAATGTTTCTTCCTCATCAAAACTGATCACTTTATCTATAGATACTCAAGATAAAATATTACAAAAATATTTAGAATCAGACCTTACCAACAAAATAAATAATACTTGAATTAAGAAAACTGAAAGAGAAAACTGAAAGAACCAGAGTTCATTTTAATATAATTATACCAAAGAGCAATATTTTAAAAAATTTGCTAGCCTCTCTAGTAAAAAAGTGAAACATAGTTCTATATCTAAAAATTTAAAGGATCAATACATGAAAAACTTAGATTAAATACAAGCTTTAATAGCATTAATACAAACATCTTACAAAACTCTCATATAGCAAGTAATAAATATCACAATTACAAATATGGAAATTAATAATTCAAATCTCAATAGCAGCATTTCAACCCAATTAAATAAGAAGCATAATACTCATAAAGATACTTCAAATATAAGTAATACTCATAATTAAGCAGATAAAATCATCTAAAAAAGTTTTGATTAAGTCTATTCACTAAACTAACAAGAGGTTCATTAGCATACTCCATATACTCTGCATATAAACAAATCACAACCAAAAACAACAGAGTTGCAATCTTTGATATCTGTGCTCTTAATAATCTTTCAATAAATAAAATAGTAGCAATATTGTATAAAAAAATAAAAAATGATATTATTGAATTAAACTTTGTTTTACAAAAAAGAATATGATTACAATTAGAAATTGTTTTCAAATTTGAAGAAATATCAAAAAAATTGCAAGAGATTAATATATTTAACCAAACTTTATTGGGATATATTTTTATTAATATTAGAAACTCCTATCTATTAGTTATACTTAAGAATATTCTAATTAATTTTTAAGAAAACATTATGAATAAAATTAAAGACATGCTAAATGTAGTAAGCAAAATATCAGCTATCAAATCTCTTTT